CCAAGCGCGTATATTTTGGCTAAGCAATAGGCCGCCGGCCAGACAGCTCTTGCACACCCGGAGCCTAGGCTCATTGCACAGGGTAGAATGTCTGGTCTGGGCAGCCCAAAGAGGGATGCTGAGCAAAGGCATCGCACAGAGTTGCCTATTATGCAGGCTTCTCTGGGAGGTACGTTGACCTGCATAAGGGTTACCTGCCCCGAGAATCCCTTTCCCAGAAAAACGGCAGAGGAAAGGTCGAGAGTACTTCGGGTCAAGCTAACAGCCTGATGGTGACTCCCGTACACAGTCTTAATGTTTGATTTTGGGAAGGTACAACCTCTACCTCTATCCCTCAACATATGGGTGACCTATTTGCTTGTAAAAATATAAAGCCTTATCATTAATTAATAAAAAAAGGGGGATATGTAGGAAGCCGGTTCCTGCATCCTCCATTACAATAATAGGTGCCTGAAGACACCAAGATGTAAATTACTTCACAGGCGCTGGGTAATCTCCATTCCTTTGATCTCTGCCTATCCCGTGGCTCATTTTGGCCTGAGGAGCTAAAGCCATTCATAGGGTAACACGTCCCAGGTGGCTGGTCAGCCTTTATAAGGGATGGTTTTCTTGGTTTAGTGTCTCCGCTCTAGTCTCCGCTCTGGAAAGCTTATGCTCTCCCCTCACAAGATGCATTAAAGCTTGTCTGCAGAAGGATCCGAGTGTCCCGTGTATGATTTCTTGCTGGCGAGAAATACAGAGCGCGAGGGACAATTAACCACTTCCTTCAAGTCATTGTCTGAACTTCTCGGGTCATGATTTCCATCATCTTGCAGATCTGGCGGACTTGCTGGCCCTGTGCATAGGAGGTCTTGCGTATCTGGTTGTTGCGTTTTTTTAGTGAAACCAACACAGAACAGACGGAGCAAATAACCATCGGTTGTCTTGACATCAACATGGGCTTCAATCATGGTCTGCCACTTTTTGACCATGGAACACATTTTGTCCCGGGTAAGATCCATGCTATGGAAGTTAGTCAGTTTTTGACCTGAACATCCTCAGTAATTAGCTTGAATTTTCTAAATGCAATTTCGTCATTCTGTAGATCAGCAAGGCTCACTTCAAACACACGACCCTTGAGGCCATCAGATGCAATTTTGGTTCCTTGAGTCTTCGTAACTAGTGTTTTCCCAATGTTTCTAATATTGAACATCGCAGGCGCTTTCACATCATACCAGTCTTTCTTCGAAAATGGATCAACCACTTTCTTCTTGGCTCCCTTATTGCGGTCTTTTGTCAGGCGCTTATTCTTGCCAAGCACCATGGTGCTGCTAAGAGAGCCGAAGGGCGGAAGTAGTACCCGGGCGAGAACTTACGCAAGCTGGGCGGGGAGCGCTCGGATGTTTAGCTTTTTATTACACCAATCACAGCAATAAATTTTCACACAGTGTACAAATATCCCACAACACATCACGGTGGGGCAGACATGGAAACAGATAGGGAAGCCGTCGGTGCAGTAAGCTAGCCCATCACATTGCATCCCACACAGGAAGCAGAGAGCACAGCAAGTTGGAGCAGCTATAAACCTCAAGTTTATAGCCTAAAACCTGCCCTTCCTCTACCAAGACTCACCCCCACACACACACACACACACACACACACACACACACACACACAAATAGAAGCGTACTACTTACGGTTTACACAAATGACTCCTTTTTCTTCCAAGTGATTCAGGGTGGAAGCAAACATCACTGCCTGGTCCACCCGCAGACCTCAGAATAAAGAGCCCTGCAAACTGCTCCTTCTGAAGAAGTGGGCTCCACATTCATGCATCACTCACATTTCCTCCACACCTGACTTAGACTGAGGTGAGCTCTTGATTCTGAACAACCTCTATTTAATCTCTTCCTCCGGGACCTCTATTGCCTCCAAAAACTGAAGAAGAATTTAAAATCTGCAACCAAAAGTCTAAAGTATTAAATTGCAGCTAGCTGTGTTTTTTATGTTCATATGGAAATCAATTATGACTGAGCCAAGTCTGAGATTTATGGAAAAAGGGAGGGCGAGAAACCATGACCGAGGTAGTGGTGGCTGTCATGCAAACACTGACTCCATTCTTTTAGGTGCTGGTTTCTGCGGTTTGGATGAGGTATGGCTGCATGTGGGGATTTCTTTGTTGGCTTTGGTTTTGTTTATTTGATTTCTATCTTCTTTAGTGTTCTCTGGTGCTCCTGGATCTGTGGTTTGGTGTCATTAATCTTGGCTCATTCCAAAGCATTCTTATTTCTAATATTTTGTTTTATCTTTTTCTTCTAGGAATTCACAACTTGTATGTAACATATTTTGTTATTTTCCCATGGTTCTTGAATATTCTATTCTACCTTATCATCTTTTTTGTGTTTCATTTTAATTTATACATTTTCCAAGTGATTGATTTTCAAGCTCCTGGATCAAAGTTCTTGACCATGCCAGTCTGTGGAAGGCAGTCATTTTTTGCTGGTGTTTGTTCTGTTGTGCATTTCCTCTTAAGTGCTTCATGGAGTCCTATTTCTGTGCTTATGTCCTGTTTATTTTCCACCACTAGATTCTTTAGAATATTAGTTACAACTCCTTTAAATTCCCCATTTGGTCATTCTGATTCATGCCATCTCTGAATCTGGTTCTGATGGTTGCTTTGTCTGCTCACGCAGTTTTTCTCTTGCCTTTCAGGATTTTTACGGCTGGGGACTGAAATCTGAACATATTTATGAGTAATAGGAACTGAAATAAACATTGTGTTTGAGAAATCAGCTGAAATGAAGGAAAGATTATTTTGGCTCACAGTTTCAAAGGAGAAACAGACCATAATAGCAGAAATGTGTATTTGAGCAGGAAGCCGGGTATGTGTTGGGGGCAGGGTGCCACACCCAATAGACTCCTCAAAGGTGAAAAGTGCCACATGCATGCTCCAAACTGTCCATACTTCCCAATAGTAGCAAACCAAACCTGTAGCATGTGAACCTTCAGGAAATATGTATGATGCAAACCCGTCATGGCTTAAGACAGAGGCCCTTGCTTCCTCCACATTCTGAAGGCTGAACTTTGATTTCTGACGTTATGTTTTTGTGAGCTTTTCCACATTACACATAAACCCATATTTTCTTTAGTTGTCTTGAGCAGATCAACCATTTAATCAAAAGGCCTGTGAATGAAGTTTATTGCCTTCCCTGACTCACAGCACCCTCAACTGCAGGAAGTAGGGGTAAAATAACTTTAAAATCTATCAACTTGCATGCGATAACAAATAAGACTCAGAAAGAGAGCGAGCATACTCTGTTGGATTACTGCACTGTGGGTTATCGATCCTTTCCAATTTTCAGATCTATCTTCACTATAAGGGAAGGTGAATAATAATTAGTAAGAAGTGACAAAGAAAAATAAGTAGCCTCTAAAACTGGGACAGGGAAGAAACTTTCCAGTGACTAAGAATGCTATGCCCACACCAGCTTGAACATGCAACAGCTGAATGCATAAAATTTAATTTCTTTGAAATGCTGTCAATCATTAATCTTTTTCAGTACGATCACATTGCTTTTCAGTGATGAGGCCTGTATGTGGTAGGCCAGCACCATAGTTGAACTAAGTCCCCAGCTTACTGATCCTTCACTTTAAGACGGCCCAAATCATCTATTTCTAAGTTACCTATTCAAAATAGAACTAAAGCACCTGTTCTAACATTTGTTCTGTCTGCCTAGCATCCTGCTTTTCCCTATGACTACACACCTTGGGAACTGGTCTTTCCCTAGCTCCAAGTGTCACTCACAGAACCCCCACACCTTGTAGGGACCCCAAGCCTGTCGGGTAAGCCAGTTTGAGTGCTTCCTTGAATTTTCAGCTTTGAATCTGTGGAGATGGGGCAGTTCTTCCTCTGCTAGGTGCCACAGGCTGCCTATCATGAACTACGTGGAGAAATCCAGTAAGTGGAAGCCAGAGGCAGAGGATCCGGATACAAAGGGAAACCTCTTGGGATTTGTGCTCTTAACAGAGCCTGTCCTTCCATCTTTCTCCCTGTGTGGTTAGATGGGCCAGCAGTTCTTTCTGGTTCTTACATGTGCCATTTCTAGACAAGATGCCTATGTGATACAGAAGTTGACAGAATGGGCTTTTGTCTTGTTTGAAGTTGGTTCCTAACATCAAAAGTGTTATCTTCCAGTATAAGCAGAAAAGTCAACAGAAAAATACCTCAAGGCACACTTCTGCAAAATGGCAAAGAGAACACTAACTTGAAGAAGAAAGGACTTAAAATGAAAATACAGAGGATCTTCCCATCAGAGCCTTATCCTCACTGTCCCACGAAAGTGTCTATAAAATGCAGGTATCTGTCACTGAACTGACCTATAGAAAGTGCTTACAACTTCTAAAATAGTACTATTTGAATTGAGTATGGATCATGCATCACTTTTAGGAACAGTGACTTGAGATTTATTTTCTAATACCTCTTAGGCTCGATTTTTCCTTTGTAAAATGGGGTTGCTATTGTTTGGGGGCTCGTGATTTAACCTAAAGCGATCCTATCAGAACATGAAGGACTGCCAGCCAGTGAACATTATTTATGAGAGTTGGCTTGTATTTGTGGTTTTGTGAAGAAAATTTTCTACAGAGAACAGTGAGGTTCCTGCATGTAGAACTACCAAAGAGCAAATCTTGTTTATGCCTGTATCTCAGTCACTGATCTATTGCTGTGAAATGGCCATGACCAAAGCAACTCTTATAAAAGAAGGCATTTAATTAGGGGCTTGCTTACAATTTCAGAGAGTTGGTCCACGGTCATCTTGGCAGGAAGAGAAGCAGGTGGGCATGGTGCTGGAGAAGAGCTGAGAGATTTACACCCTGATCCACAGGCAGCAGGCAGAGAGAGACTGAGACTGGGGTGGGTTTTTGAAACCTCAAAGCCCCCACCCCTGGTAACACACCTCCTCCAACAAGGCCACACTCACTTCAACAAGTGCATACCACCTAATCCTTCCCAAACAGTTCCATTCCCTGGTGACTAAGCATTCCAATATATGAGCTCGTGGGGGCTGTTCGCATGCAAACCTCCACACCTGCTGATGTCACCATCTTAAGGGAAGTTGACCCTTCAAACATCTGCATCCCATAAAGACCAAGGTGCACATGGATGAGGCTGAGAAGTGGCCTTATTATTCTTCTAGATAGGTCTCTACAGAATTTTTCTCCATACTTTTGATAATGATGTCACATGATTTGTTTTGTGTTAGATAAAAATAACATTAAACACTTGATCTTGCTAAGAGTAGAATAGTTTTCGGGCTTATACACACTTGTACTTCATTCTTTCAGGAGGCTAAAGTGGACAACAAAATCAATTGTCCCAAGGTTACCCTGTACTATCATATGTTCAGGTATAAATATTAATGTACTTTAACCCATGTCATCTACATTTTACACTCACAAATAACCCTATCACATCCAGTCTGTTTATGCTATTTATATTTTATAAAACATACCATAAATGACAAGCAAATAAATCAACCAAAACCTTATTTGAGCTTCATGGGACAATAACTATCATCCAGTATTTACTTCAAGTAGGATTATTAAAAGATGTTACATTTAGTATTCAACTAACCAAGGAAATGAAATAGAAAGAAAAATAGCTGAGACACATCCTGGTTGTTGTTCAACAAGGGAAATTTCAATGCCCATCATTTTCTGTCCTGCCCAGAAGATGATACTAATGTTTAATGGACACTAAACATTTGATGCTACTCATCATCCTGATGCTGTCCCCGAATTATGGCAGTGCCTTGAGACACATTCAGTCGGGCTTAAGAATTCAACTGGAAAGCCAGGCATGGCGGCAGCAATCCATGACAAGAAGTTTGCAGGCTTGAGTCCAGGCCTCAGACACCTTGCTTCCAAAACCAGTTTAATTTTAACAGGGATTTCAGAAATGGATTTCCTCCTCTCCTCCTCTCCCTCCTTCTTGGAATCCACAACTTTTATGTAGCATATTTTGATATTTTTCCATGGTTCTTGAATTTTCTAATCTGCTTTATCATCCTGCTTCTGCTTCCAAGGTCCTAGGACTGAAGGTGGAAGCTACTAAGCCCAGATTTTTCCCCTTCACATTATTGTTATAAAAATGTACATATGTGTGTTTTGATTGCATATATATATGCAATATATATATAATGTATTATGTGCATGCCTGATGCCCAAGTAGGTCGGAAGAAAGCATCCGATCCCAACTGATGGATGTTTGTAAACCATCATGTGGGTGCTGGGAACTGAACTTGTGTCCTCTGCAAGAGCAACAAG